CAAGCATTTCCACCCGCGGCCAACAGACCAATCCCCGTGGTCAGAAGCAACGCAACCGCGGCCAGCCACCCATTTCCCGCGGTCGCACTCATCCCGACCGCGGCCAGCCAACTCCGACTTTGAAGGCCCATTTCTGAAGCCCGTATCAGACACCAGAGAGTATTGGAGACTATAAATACATGTCATTTAGGTCGTTTTTAAGAGAGAAGAAGAGAGATGAAATACTTTACAGAAATTTACTTTAAGCTTTGTTTTTAGGTTTTAAGGAGAGAGAGATTTGTCTCTTGAACCCTTGTTCTTTCTTTTTCAATTTCGGTTTCTATTCTACTTTTTAATACTATGTTTTTGATTTCGTTCATTATATATGAGTAGTTTTATTGTTGGAACTAAGGAATTTTCGAATTTTCGAATTATCCCTGAACCCCATCGCCTCTTTTCTTATAGATTTACACCGATTTTCATTCAAGCTTTAGTCTAGTTTATTTACTCTTTCAATCGATTTTTATTTGAGCAATTAGGTTAGCCGTTTTTCCCGTTTTTACCCGTTTTCATTAAGTTTAGTTATTAAGTCATTTTAATTCCCGTAGTTTCTTTTTAAATTTCGTTTTTACATTTTAAACACATTACCAAAACCCTCACAAAACTCGCATGGTTCTAGACTTCATTACTTTATATTTCTTTCGAATGCTTTTGCAGGAAAGATCCTCCTTCCCTGTGGATTCGATCCCAAAGTACTACAATCGATCAGCTGTGCACTTGCGGCTATTGATTTCATTTAGGGTAAAACTTGACAACCCTCGACACGACATCACATCACCTAGAACCTCCAAAAGGCTGTTTCCACCGTTTTTAAAGCTCTGATCACCATTTCTTTTCCTGGTTTCACATTTTCAGCTCCAAATAGCTCCAAATACACCTGATAAACACTCCAAACCATGCAAAGACTCATTGGGACCGAATGCAACCCCTATGCCCTAAAACAACACCTAAAGGCCTAAAATGCATGAAATAAAACATGATTTGGAATGAATTATACAACCTAAATGATGTAATTTATGAACATATCAAGATATAACCTATATTTAAGGAAATTTTTAGTTATCTAAATTAATATCTAATTTTCGGAATTAAATTTAAATATATAAAAAATATTTTTTAAAAAAACTTTGGGAGTGTTTGGAAACAAACACTAAAAGTGCTTCTGTTTTAATATAATAGATAATTTAACTAGCGCTAATAGCTAAGGTGAGATTTTCTTTTTTAGTAAAAATATGCTAATTAAACTGTTTTTACTTAATTTTGGAGGTTCATTAAACTGTTTTTACTTAATTTTATAATATGTTTAACTATCGATTATAGGTAAAGATGTCAAACCAAACTAATTTATTTACTTAATTTGTTTTGAATTTTTTCAAAAAATTACTCTGACTAACTGAAAAAATATATAATCTTGAATACATAACTTTATAATATACACCGTTTAATGATTCTAATTTTGGTGGCCAGTCCACGAAAAATATTTATAAATTAGAAATATATTTTTCATTTATATATATATATATATATATATATATAAATACAATATAATAAATTATAATGAAAGCATTGTAAATGTTACGAGATTGTGGCTTTTTAGAATATTCATGTTTAGGAAATACAATGTCTTGGAGAGGACGAAGAAACTCAAAAGTTGTTAGATGTAGACTAGATCGGGCATTAGCGACTAAAGATTGGCATGAGATTTTCTCGCATTCTTTTGTTGAGTATTTGGCGATGATTGGATCAGATCATCGACCAATTGTCGTTACAGTTGAATATAAAGTTCAAAGGAAAAAGTATAATTTCAATTTGATAGACGTTGGTTAAGACAAGACGGTTTTATGGACTCTATTTCGAAAGGCTGGAATTTTGATCCTGGTGATGGGGGTAGTGCCGTTTATGGACAAAGTGCAAAACTGTAGAAGAGAAATATCCCAATGGAGGAAAGCTATTCAGCCATATGGGTAGGAAAGGATGGACGACTTGAAAAATGATACAAGAACGGAGTAGGAATTGATGGAGGTACGAAAAAGTTAAAGAAAGCTTATAGGGATGAGGAATTATATTGACAATAAAAAAGTCGGAGAGATAAAAATACAAAATTTTATCATGCACTAGTTAAACAAAGAAGAGCACGGAACCATATTATTGGTCTATATAATGCAATAGGAACATGGGTTACTTCGGAGAAAAAGATTGAGAAAGTGGCAGTCAAATATTTTGCTGAACTATTCACCTCGACTTCTCCAACGGAATTTGACGTCGCATTGGGAAATATTACACCGGTAATCTCGGACACGAATAATGCAATGCTCACAGTTATGGCGTCTGAAGAGGAAATATGGAGTGCACTCTTTACCAACGCTCATGGCAAATCGTTAAGGCGGATCTTGTATGTTTAGTCAATGGTTTTTTGAAACTGGGGTCTTTGATAAAAAATTAAACATGACGAACATCTGTTTAATTCCAAAAACGGAATGACCTACGAGAATGACAGAACTATAACCTATTAGTCTGTGTAATGTAGGTTATAAGACCATATCAAAAGTAGTATGTCAAAGATAAAAAAAAAATTATTACCGGAGCTGATTTCGGAAACACAATCAGCTTTTGTGGCAGGATGATAACACCTGATTTTGACCACTTTTATGGATCACTTTCAATATCTTATGCAGGTGTTTTTACTCAGTTTTAAAGGTTTTATAAGTGTTTTACATGTTTTGGAGTTTTAAAAGGCTTTTCAGGAAACTTGGGACTTTGGAGTGCATTTTGGAGCAAAAGTACATTTTTGGATAAATTCAGGCTGTTAGAAGTTTGGCTACCAAATAAGATTCTCACTGTCTGATCATCTCCAAATTTAGAGACATAATAGAGGAGACAACCAGCTTTCCAACACACTTGGAATCAAAGCAATCCAACGGTTAGATCTCAAGATATCATTTATGCACTGAAGACCGATCAACACAAGCCCAATCAAGTACAAGTGCTTTCACCCGCGGCCAGCCTTCTTCCCACCGCAGCTCAGGAGGTTTCACCCCCGGTGGACCTATGTCCGAACCTCAGGAGCCCAACTAAGACCCAAGACACTTCCTGCACCCATTTTACAAGCCCTAGACGCCCAAGACTTGGAGAAACATTATAAATACTCATTTTTTAGGTCTTTTGTAAGGGAGCATTTTTCTTCTCTTTGAGAGAGAACTCATTCATAGTTTTAGGTTTTATTTTTATGCATCTGTAGAAGCTTTTCATCGCCATACTGTCTTCAATAAGAGAAGTTTTTCTGCAACCTTGTTTCTTTTACTTTTCTTCTTCTTAGTTCTAAACCGATGATGATGTCTACCTCAGCCATGTCTGAGTAGTCACCTAGTTGGGTGAAAGGGTAATCCAAAAGGACCCCATGTTCGAATGACATCTAGGTTTTTAGGAAAAAGGATTTCGATTTTTAACATGATTCTCCCATTCATCCAATCTTCAAAGCGGTAATTCTGGATTGATCACCCAGAATCCGATCCTAGGTTTAATCCGAGCCACGAGAGTGTTGTATCTGGGTTGCCTGAACCGGATCTTATGGACGTTCCCGTTGTAGGAGACGAAAGCTACCTACAGAGGATACGTAAGAAGAGATGGATTCCGATCTACAAAGCATGATCTCGTTCTGGCATGAGAGCGAGAGTTAATTGCCATGAACAAGTGATTAGATGATTAGGGTGACGAGAGTTGGCTAATCTTACATGTGTCTATCCTAGTTTCAGAGTCATAGAAAATCCTTGCCTAAATTCCTTGTGTTTTAGAACATGAACCGTAAAGATGAACCTTGAACCCAGCGCTTTTTACTTATTGTTTTTCAACCGATTTTTACTTAAAGCTCTTTTTAATTCTCTGCATAATTAGATTTAGTGACAAACCAAAACCCCTTTTTATTAGATTCGGTTTACGATTGTTTTTAGCACCAGTTAGAAGTCCTCAACACACAGATATCTGTGGATTCGATCCCTAAGTACTACTGCGTTTGCTGTGCACTTGAAGCTTGTCTAGGGTAAAACTTGTGTTGCCCACTGCACTCACACCAAGTTTTTGGCGCCGTTGCCGGGGATTTGTCGCTGTTGACTTGACTTTTTAATCTAATTTCAATCCTAAACCTCAAGATTTTCGAGTTCTGCTGGAGATTTTCTAACTCTTCTTTTCATCTTTGCTTTCTTTGTTCACAGGTGCATGAAAATTAGGAGAGATTCTGACGAAATCGTATTGCCCTTAGACGAGATTGACAAACATGAAAGAGCACTTAGGAAACTCAGATGAAGAACGCTCAAGATGGCCAATCCTATGCCCATCGGGAAGATCTTTTAAACCGTGATCAGGAGGATCACATTGGTGATGATGACCGTGATTCAGTTCATGGTGATGACCTAGATGCTGCCCATGAAGAAGATGGACAGCCACAACTCGATGAAGAGGGAAACCGAGTCCCTCTAAATCCTGCTCAAGCTGCTGATAATCAAAGGAGACAAGACCAGGCCGATGCTGAAGGAAGAAGGAATGATGAAAACATTGTTCCACCAGTTGTTAGAGAAGCTAATCGACCAATACAGCTTGCCAATCCTGCGAGAAGACAGCCTCGGAATAGACTCATCGCCGATTTCGATGCACCTCACCAACACTTTCAAAATCGATCAGCCATTCAAATTCCTGTTCCAAGAGAAAATCATGAGATAAAACCTCAGATTGTCTCTTTGGCGAAGCAGAACCCATTCCATGGAATCTCTACTGAGCATCCAATGGACTACATTGATCTTTTTGAAGATAAAACCTCAGATTGTCTCTTTGGTGTAAGCTTTTTCCTTTCTCTCTAAGTGATAAAGCTTTTAGATGGTTGAAATCTATCTCATCAGGTTCTATTACTTCATGGGAAGAATGCAAGTAAGCTTTCCTGAACCATTTCTACACCAAGTCAAGATCGAAACAGCTGAGAAACAAGATTCAAAGTTTCCAACAAGGTCCCAATAGAATCATTCTATGAAGCCAGGGAGCGATTCAAGAAGTATGAGAGAGACTGCCCTCATCATGGTTTCTCTGGAGCAAACCTGCTAGCACCCTCTGCAGAGGACTTCAGCAGAAGTATCAACTTTCTCTTGACACTGCCAGCAATGGAGATTTCAGTTCTAAAACCATACCACAAGGGAAGATTATGACATTTCAAAGAAGATTATTACTAGTCATGAATCAAGGGAGATTGCTGAGCTAAAAAGCTTGGTAAGTGAACTTCTTAAGTCTCAAAATAAGAATATACATGCTTGTGATACTGTTGTAGGAAATGAGGAAGACGGAAGAGATGAAGAAGATGACATGTACCAAGAGGAAGAAATCAATTTTATGGGAGCTCAAGCATACCATAATCGATTTAGTCCAGCTCTCAACAACAACTTCAAGAACTCTGGTGCCAACTTCAACAATCTCTCATACAGAAATCAAGGAGCCGAGAATCAGCCCTTTCCGCAGCAGCAAAGGAATTTTCAAAACAAGTTTCAAGGTGGAAACTATGGAGGAGGAAACTTCCAACAAAGACCACCATTCAATCCTCAACAAGCACAGACAAGCTCATTAGAAGCAACCATTTCCCAACTAAGCAACCAGGTAAAATTGCTTAAACAAATGATGATGTAGACTACTCAAGGCAATGAGAATTCATTCAGGGAAATGGGGGTGAAGATCGATTGTAATTAAAATGATTTGAATGGGATGTTCGAATCTCTTGCGACCCATGTCAAGAAGTTGGAACATCAGATAGGTCAAACTGCAGATTCAATAAAGAGTCAACCAGGAGTTTTACCAGGAAGAGTAGAAGATAACCCAAAAAAGTTCTGCAATGCTATGACAGAAGTTATGGAGGAAGAACCTGTCGCAGACTCTAAGGAAAGATTGACGCCTGAACCTCTCATAAAGGACTCTGAAACCGAGCATGAGAGAAGCGAAGTCATTCCGGTTATGGTACCCAAACACTTGCCTGACCAAAGACTAAAAAAGTCTAAGGATCCAAGGCGTTTCTCATTCACCTGTTCAATCTTTGGAATTGAATTTTCAGATTGTTTATGTGATTCTGGTGCTAATGTGAATGTCATGTCAAAATCTGTTGCTGAGAAACTTGGTATAGGTACATTTATCCCATCTCCAGTAAGGATAATCTTTGGTGATTCATCTCAAAAGAGAATAGAAGGAATGATCCAAGACTTGCGACTGATCATTGGAAACAATACAATCCCAGTCGATTTTCTAGTTTTGGAGATGGACAAAGACAAAGACAGACCTTTCATGTTTAGTTTTTTAAAATGTGGACAGGAAAAAGTTCTGTAAGACCACGCCAGACCCAGCTCCAAATCAAAAAGACAAGAACAAGGAGAAGGTGTTGGAGGACAAAAAGGAACTAAAAGCACTTGCATCTAGGCAATTTGAGAAGATCAAGATAGTGGTGCCACTAGATATCAGCAAGGAGAAGGAGAAAAATCTTGAAGGATTGTTGAGAAGACAGAACATGTCCTCAAAGACGCAAGAATCTTTAAGAAAGGAAAGGAGATTCTGATTCAAGATGAAGGAAATCCCAACTTCAGGCTAAGAAGAATTCCAAGGACTCTTAATTCAAGGGATCTTGACTCTTCTTCTCAATCCTAATCCTGCCAAGAGTCTAGCTAAAAGACTTTAAACAAAAGCGCTTAATGGGAGGCAACCTATTTGGTATGATTTTCATTTCTTTCTCTTTCTTTTCTATTTGATTTTCTTTTCTTTCTATGCATTTCAGGCTTTCATTAAACCCAGAAAAAACCAAAAATCATTAAAAAAACCAGAAAATACAAAAAGATAGGATGAGAAAACAGGAAAATGGAAGAAACCAGGAGTTCTCGGAGCATAGTTCACCGCGGCCGCGATAAATCCAGCCGCGGCCAAGCCCTTATCAGCTGCGGTTTATGTTCGCGGCCGCGCGTAATCCACCTGCGGCCGACCCCCGTTTTGCTCCCAGGCGATTTTTCCCTGTTTCATGTAAACCGGAACTTTAATTTCCCGTTTTATTTCGGGATTTAACCAGGAAGTTCCCGAAGCATAATTTCCGTGTTAAACACGCCAGGTAAGTCTTCTAACCTTTTAAAAATAATTTTTTTCTTAGGAAAAACACTTTTTTAAAAGAAAAAGAGAATTTAAAAGATCAAAAAGGTCTTTCTCTTCATCTTCCCCAACAAGCTTGGAAATCTAGAGAAAAAGACAGATTTCAAACTTGACAAATCCTTTCCAAATTTTCAAACATACCTCACTCTTTTTCCAAGGAGATTTCAAATATATCATCACATAACACTTTTCTCAAGGTATGAGCTCAATTTCGCACTTTTTCTTAAAAACTCAGATTTAGGGTTTTCTTAAATAAGTAGAAATTCACCTTAGGATGATTGAAGATTGTCTTTGGAACTTAAGACTATACTACTGGGTAGTTTAACTGCATGATTAAACACTTAGACCATAGAGATTTGAAATTTTCGAAAATCTGTGATTTGAGACTTTGAGGAAATCGAAATTTTGAGATCTATTTGGTTCAGCTTTGCAAATCTGGATTGTTTGGTTCTTGTTGATAGAAAACTAGATTAGATTACATGTGAGTGAGCATAAACAACATCCTGATTCAGAAATCTCATGTGTTGAACATCAATATATTGAACTTGACCAGAAATCCTCAGATTTTGTAATGGTTGATGCATTTACAGCTTATTTGTCATGATAATGTGTTTGTGATATCTCTATAAACACCTTGTTCATAAAAATCGATACCAAAGTAGCTTGATTTATCATTTTTCACTAGAATCTCGTTTTTGCAGGTCATGGATCTCTCTCAGGTTCGACTGATCTGAACCAAGACGAGCCATCATGCAAAAAAGCCCCATTCGCAGGAGACATAGGATGCATTGAACAACACAACTGAGTGAAGATGAACCTTTATCCACCTTCATTGTCGCGCAAAGAAGAATATTTTCAGGAGAGATTGAGCGAACCTCCACTCAGCTATCTTTCCATCGAAGAGTCAAGTCTTCCTCTAGGCCGAAAGTGAAGTTTGTTGGTAAAGTCATTGACTCGGACATCAATTACTAGGCGCAGCTTGAGAAGCTGAAGATCAAGCCAACTCCAGCAATTGACTACTCAACTCTTGAGATGCTTGGAATCAGATAAGATGTGATATGGTATCTTGATAGGCTTGGAATGAGATCATTCATGGAGCAGAACCTTCAGACCTATGAGAACCACACCAAGGAGTTCCTTGCATCAGCAACATTGAGCTACAAGAAGAGAGCTACTCCTAGAGCTCTAGATGGCACATTCTTCTTCTCAATTGGAGGTCATCCGTACTCTCTTACCATCTTAGGGATATGTGATGCTTTGAAGTTGCATTATTGTGATGAGATTGCATTGAATGATCCAGATGAGGATCTTTGGAAATTGATGGGTTATGGCGTTTATGACAAAGGAAGGTCCAAGGCATCATTACTCTCTCATCCTGCTGTTCGCTATGTTCATTAGCTACTAGCACACACTGTGCTTTCGCGAGCCAATCAAGCGAATGTCCTTAACCCAGAGTTGGTGACACTACAGCTACCATTCGCAGATCACCCCAGGTTTCCTTGCTTTGCTTGTATCATTGCAAGGAACCTAGTGAAGGTTAAGCATGAGATGCTTACTGATGCGAGCTAGGGTTGCTGTCGCAAAATAGTTTTAAATTTATAAACCCTAGTGTCTGCAAGTGCACAGCCGTGTGTTGTAGTACTTAGGGTGTCGATCCACAGGGAGAGTTGTCTTTTCTGCAGAAACTTCAGACTGGATTAGTAATCGAACTCAAAGACCAATTGGGGTTTTTGTGGGGTTGTGTGTCTCTATTTCTAAGCTAAACAGGAAATAAAATAGATCAAAACAAGGATGAAGTGTTGGGCATTAGGGTTCATCTCTAGGGTTCATGATCTATGACACAAGGAATCTAGGAAAGGATTTTCTATGATTCTGAAACTAGGATAGTGATGTCGAGCAAAAGCGGGGTTGTTGGTTGGTTTTACTAAGCTTCAGGTTTTAAATTTATAACCCCTAAATGACTGGAAGTGCACAAATGTGCGCTGTAGTACTTAGGGTATCGATCCACAGAGACTTAGTTGTTTCAGTACAAATTCACTGCAATGCTTAAATCAGACTAGAACTAAACAATTTGTGTTTTCGTTTTGGGTTTTGGTTGTCACTAAATCTAAACTAGAAAGCTAAACAAATAAAAGCAAATAAAAACGAAAGCAAGTGCAAGCAAGTAAAAATCAGTTATGAATGAAATCAGGTAACAAGCGAATAAAAGCAGAATGGAAATCTAAGGTTGTAAGCAATGAAAGACAAACGTTGGGCATCAAGGATAATTCGCAGGGGTTCATGGTCTATGCTAAGTCAATTTTAAACAGGTGATAAAGGTAATCAACTACGTATGGTCTAGAACTCGAGGCACGGAAGTATGAATAGTCTACTTTCGCAGCACTAAACAACTATCTCTCGTAACCCTGATCAGTTGGTTTCCACTCTGATCCTGGAAGGGAGAAAATGCAATAGCAGAACAAGACTCATCAACATTCAAAACTCAACTACAGGTAGGTTTCACCTCCTATAGAATTATTGCTCGTTTCACCCTAGTTCAGACAATCAATGAAAGCTTTCGCAACATATCATATCAGATCGGCTTCTAAGTGGCCAGCAATAAGATTAAAGGCAAACAAAGAACATCTAGAAGATTAATTAAGTCAAAATTAAGTCCAGATAAAATGAGAAAATTAAGTCAAAATTAAGTCCAGATAAAATGAGCTAGCATATCCTGTCAGAAAGAATCTCCATGAATAGAAGTCCTCTGGTGGGAGTTTGTAATGCAAGAATTCTAGCTACCGCCTAGTCTAGGCCTAAATCACAAAAGAGCAGAAAACGAGGAAATAGCGTAGAAGCACACTGGTCTAAATCATCATAGTATTGTTTATTGTGTTCCTGGTTTGAAAACTTTTTGAAAAACATTTTGAAAACAAT